ACTGAATAATCAACTACTCACTGGAAAAAAAATGATTTGAACTTACCAGAGAAGAATATCTCCTCTTAAATCAAAAGTGAAATAGCTCTATAATCTTTCAGATTTTTGCCTAACTGAAGGAACTTTTTCTAGATTTAACCTGATTTTTTTCTTGATTTAAGAGATAATTTTAGCGTCAAATTCAAACATATTTCCATTCATAACAAGGCACTTTATTTTCAGTGCAGGAACGAAAAACTTGGTGTGAATATATTTCGGGTGGCACACAGTGGATTGAGTCAATCAGATAGGTTGGACGTAACATTTTTAACTAACACCGAACATTTCGATGTTTAATTCGTCACATTTCAAATTTTAAGGGATGTTTCTGAAAGAAACTTTCACAAGGAAACCGATAGAACCACTTTTAAGACCACAAAGTTTGGTATAAACGTTATAAGCTTTTAAAGTTTCCAAATTATGTCCGACCTCTCCTATCGACTCGATCCACCGTGCGGTACTGCACACCGCGAACATTTGGTTCACATAACCGAACTTTTTCCCAACAGACTGAATACCCGACACTCTCCACCGCGCTACACCCTTGCGATGTTTATTGTGCCCATAATAAATCACTGAAACGTCAACCTCCAATTCCCTGACAACTCATGCAACGTCCAACGTCAGAGGAGGGCCTCGACAATATCGGCACAAACAAAACATCCCTCCTCGCAGCGGGGCGGCCGCCGGCCTTTGACATTAATTAACCCTTTTCGCTCCTCTGCAACTTTTTCCGCAGTTGTTTCCTAGCTCCAGCACTCTCCATTCCTACCTCGTGGCGAAATTAAAACCCTCAAGTTTTTTTCCCAAGCCGCAAGTGCTCTCGCGGGATGACTTACCGAGAGTCTTGTTTAATGAGAAAAGCGACGAGCAACTTCACAGAGTATGCAAACGGAATTCATCGCATTGTTTCCACACTCCAGGATCCTACGATCCTCCTCTGCAAAGTATTAATACCTAAATAGGACTCGTTCAAGGCTTTGTTTCCGGACAAGGTTAAAATTCAAAATTTCACCTTTTTAGAATAGTAGGTCAGTGCATGGTTGAGGTGCTCGATGCCCGGGGACTTGTGGCTCAACAGGGATCAGTACTGCCGTGCTAAGAAAAAACGCCGTATGAACCTTCAGGCGTTGCCAAATTTCCTCTGATAAAATACGAATTTATTGGGGAAATTGTTAATATTTTTCCTCCAATTTTTCAGACAATTTTGTGTGCAATTTAATCTAAAATATCTAAAAATTTTAAGGAAAAATTCCCATAAATTTCGTCAAAAATACATGTTTTATCCGGGGAAATTTGGCAACTCTCGAATGTTCATACGCCGTTCTTCCTTAGCACGGCAGAGTAGAGGTTAGGTGTCCTATAGCGCCGGGGAGTGCTATGAAGCAACTTTAAGTGCTAAAGTGCTGCAGTGAGAAAAAGCTATGGCTTCTAAACCAATTAGTGGTTTATATGGAACATCATTCAAAGTTGTACATGAACTAATGACTATCGGTCTGTGAACCATTCTGTGGTAGCTCGTACCATGGTATGGTATATATACCATAACGAAAGTATATGCACCATTATTATATGTTGCCTTCACGACTAATAGAGGTGTTGCATATGAACCACCAATTGGTTCATAAGCCGTAGATTTTTCTCCGTATGTACTAATTAAACAGCACTTAAATATATTTAAATTAATAGATATGAAAAGTAATTTAATAAACATTAGCAAAGTAGAAAAATAGAGGAATGTATTTAACAATATATTTAAGTGCTGCACAAATAAAACAGCACTTAAATATATGCATGTACCTGTTTGTTTAGGTCAAGGCATGGAGCTGTCATACATAAGAATCTTGGTGGGAGTATTCCTTGAAAGATTGGAAATTTCTATATTGTTTCCCTTTAAATATGAGCGGGGAGGGGGGGGGGGGGGGGGGGGGGGTCACACCCCCTGACCGCTTCGTGCCTCGCATCTCAGGCGTTATGCGTTACGCGTTATTCTTCTAATTTAATAGTATTCAGTACAATCTGTCGGTAAGATATACAGCGGACTTCCGAAAAAAGACCCGTGCGAATTTCACACATGAATCTGGTTTTACATATATTCAGAGAAATCTTGAAACCGTCTCCTGTACGAAAATATAAAAAGGAGTAAGGTTGAGATGAATTGCATCCTGAGATTTGAGAAAACGGTTACTTATATTTAAAAAAAAGAAAATCAATTTGCCCACCGCCTTCATTATAGACCCATCAATGATCTAGGGTCCAGAAATCAGGCGATTTGACTCGCATAATCTCTGGCAATTAAGAGGGATGGATTTGCTTCAGCGCGCAAAAGCCGAATAGTTTTAACACTGTGTATGTGCTCATTGCCCTGGAGATATTCAAAAGGCTTCCGTTTCCGGGAATGGGAACTATCCGGAACACATTCCCGGGAATTCTCAACTAAAATTTAATTTCCTCGGAAACTTCGATAAAGAATTCACGCATGCGCACACAATACACGATAATCACTCACACTTTGAATAGCTACACTGCCGTGCTAAGGAAAAACGTTGTATGAACCTTCAGGCGTTGCAAAATTTAACTAGACAAGACACGAATTTCCTGGCATGCATGTGAATAATTTTCTTCCAATTTGTCAGATAATTTTTTCCGCAACTTCACCTGAAGTTCCTGAAAATGTTAAGGAAAATTATTCATAACTTGCCTCAAAATCAAACATTTTATCGAAGGAAATTGGCAACTCTCGAATGTTCATACGGCGTTCTCCCTTAGCACGGCAGCACAGGGAATGTTCTCGGAAAGGTCAACATTTTCGGCATTTACCATTTCTGAGAAACTCTGATTCCCAGTCCTACATCGACAACAGTCCGACCATACTTTCCGCTATCTGGTGTTGAATATAGAACGGACTATTCACACTGAATTTTCGGTCCCTTTAAATGGATTCGATTCCCGAACTTAACGGGCAAACACCAAGTCGCATTTCGGAGTAAAAATGAGCTAGAGGTAGCTTTGAATTGAACTTGTCGTAAACTTTTTCGTGCCGAAAATTCGGAGTCAAGAACTAATTTTAGGAATCTGGAAGTAGTTGTTAAACTTTGTTCTTAATTTTGAATCTTATGGAGAAATAAAAATATACGGCTTGTTGCGAATCTGTTTGGCTCGACCTGATTGAATTTTTAGTTTGCGCGAACAAATGATCAAATCCGCCCAACAATTTCTGCCTCATCCGTAAAAACACTTATAGGGAAACTAATATTGCATGCGTTATTTCTAAACTGTGCCAGTAATTGTAGTTACATACATAAAGTTCCTAATTGCAAAACATAGTCTTACGTTCAACTAAATAATACATGTGAAATTTGCGCTCTTTACTGAGGGTAACTGACTTCGATCCTTCTGGAAAGGATGAGTCACCCTAGGGCAAAAAACGGAAAATTCAGAAAAATGACTCTTCTTGAACGCATTTTGAGTTATTTTAAAGCAGGATGTGATCCTGAGAGACCCCAAATTTAGCTTCACTCTGTTTGAACTCTTAGAGTGAAGTCTGGCATGCATTTCATTCAAAATTCCATGCTGCTTCCAAAAAATCCAAAATGTATGAATAAGGAATGAAAAGCGGAGTTTACACCGCATGAAGAGCACATTTTGTTCCGTTCTGCTCATAGATATTCGGTTTTTTGGGAGCATTATAGATCCCAGAGTGAAATGTACGCTGGATTTTAGTTCTCGATCTTTCACAGTTCAGCCATAATACTTGAAGAAAATTTTCGAAATTCTCTTTTTTACATATCATGATGCATTGAAGCGCGGTAATACTTTATCGGAAATATTCTTCAGGAGAAAGAGAGCGGTGGATGAAACTATTCCAATTTTTATAGAAGAGCTCATTTCCACCCCTGTCCTTTAAGATCTATGCTTATTCTTAAGATATATTTAGGTTATGGACGGATCTATCACAGGTAAATTGGCAAATCTAGCATTTTATCGAATACTAAGGTAGATAGTTCAATATTAAAAATTTGCGAAGTTTTGTGCTAATTTACAAGGAGACGTTGAATTTTCAATGCTCAGAAAGTAAGAAATCATCAAACTACAAACTATCATCGAATGTTTCACTTTAAAATGCTTACCCTCATCAGACGTTTGAGCTGTCAAAATATTGTGAAAACTCTGTTTGTTAAAAAACACTGCACAGTTTGATATAAATGGTTTGCATTTAGAAAAAAGGAACCAGCACGATTACACTGTTTTCAAAAGCGTGTAACTTCTTCTTTTCTTTTAAAAATACTTTATATATGTGCAGCATTCAAATTTACGCAATAATTATCTTTAAAATTAACTATTTTTTGGTGAGAAGACAAAACTATAGGCTATTCTGGAAGATTTTTTCGATAGTTATGAAGAAGCAACATTTTTATAACATTGTTATCACGCTGGTTCCTTTTTGCTAAATGCGATCCAAATGTTCCTCTTGATAAAGACCAGAAATCATTATATCAACCAGAGTTTCATACAAATATAAGAAATGTTTCCTATTCATAAATAGACAGATACTTAGTTCGTCCAAAATTGGCCGGAGAGTCAGAATCTCAATTATAACAGTAACATAGTTATTTCAACGGTGTAAGTCGGCAATCACATAACTCGGTTTGCGACGTCGCAGACTTCCTGTCATACTTTATCTTTTAACCGGAAAACTATTCAACGGCGATTCTTCAAAACTGCCGTGATTTTTCTTCTCAGTGCGAAGAAAATTCTGCATAAACTTCAAGGCATGATGTCAATTTGCCTTCTTTTAAAAAAATAACATAGAGGCAGAGTTTTCAGACACCGCAAACGATCTATATGATTGCGGACTTACGCCGTCGATTTGTATTTTTGTCTCGGCATTCAACATAACGCCCGATTTTACCAATTGCCTGCGACGGATCCATCAGAAACATCGCACGGCTACAACTTACCTTTAAAGCAGAACTTGGACGGGCCATACATCAAAATTGATGTTGTGGACACACGGCTTTCAAAATCAGAAGCATCAACTTCAAAGAGACAAACTTAATCCGACGAGCTCGTACAGCAGAGGTTTTCGAGCTTGGGGAAGGATCAGCCGTTCCTCATCAACTTTCATACTGTTTTAAACCAGTTCCCAAATCAGTACCGATCAGCTGGTTATTGAGTCTCAAAACGTGTACAACAGCACTTTCCCGCCGCGGGACGGACGAACATAAATACCGCGCACAATTATCAAGTGGATGTCAACGCGGATTAGCGACATCGGAGCCCTCGGGACGCGAGGGCGGGGATTCAAATCCAAGTTGACGCGAAGCCAAAGAGTCCAGCGATTCGTGTTTGTTTTGGTGGCGCACGGAACAAAAACAGCGAGACAAGGGACATGGCGGAACCGAAATAGAACCGCGCCGGCAACAAGTAGACGGCCCAAGTCCAGGTGTGCTCTCTACACGCGCGGGGTCTGCTTCTCTCTACACGACACGCGCGATTTGGGCGGGAAGCGAACCGGGGAACGTGCGCTGGACCTCCGCGACGAATCAGACTGCCGGAGACGACGGCGGGACTTCAAACGCAATTTCCCGCCGCGAGAACGCATGTGCAGGAGCTTTCCCGCGCCGCGCCGCGACTTGACGTGCTACAAGTAGGTGAGATTCGTGGCATTTCGCCCGCAACCCCCCCTGCCCCCCTCCGCACAGTGCGGTCCTCTGTGGACAAAAATCAAAAATTCACAACTCGACATCTGAATATTTTTTTCGGACTTTGTCATCTTAAAGATATTTGGACTGCATTTTGCAATTTGGAACTATAAATTCTGGCTCATCTGAAAAAAACACTTATGTGCATGAGGAAACTAATGGCACATACGTTGTTTTTAAACCGGGCTAGAATTTATAGTTCCAAATTGCAAAATGTTGTCCATTTCTGACTCACTGTGATGGTTCATTTTCAAATTTTCCGCTCAAAACTACCTCAAATGTGGGTAGAAAGTGGGCAGGAAATAGGTCGGGAATCGCACTGGTCCGCAAGAAATACACGGGAAAAAGACGTCAACTTCAAATGGAGATTTCTCGCTTTAAACGCAAAATGCTCTGGGTCGTTGACATTTTCTTAATCCTCAGATATCCAACCTCAATCATAGGAAAAAGATTTTGCGACTTTTTGCGACTATCGGAGATCCAAAGTTAAAGTTTGGATGTTTCACGTTGCTTTTACATTGTTAACACAGGGCTAATTCGAGGTTGCCAACTTAAAATTAGAGTCCCTTTATACCCAGAGTAACGACAACTCGATTATCAGCTGACTGGCAGCCGACCTTGGCTGGCCATGGAGGCCGAAACTAGTGCACTCAAACGAACGATATTGAGGGATAAGGATCAGGAATCCTGCGATGTCTGTCACAAAAAAACAACAACATCAACAAATTGATCAATTAAAAAGAAAATGAGATTGGTTTGTGAATAATTTCTTATTCTATTTTCATTTTGGACCGATGGAAATAACAATTTACTCTCGATAAACCACAATTAGGTAAGATTTTCATTATTCTTGTTCACATTCGAGGTACCGCCATCTTGGTGCACTAGTTTCGGCCTCCATGAGCGAGAACCAATCAGAATTGGATTTTTTTTAGGCCACTTTCAGCCCAATCCTGGCCCAACCAAAAGTGAGTTGTCGTAACTCTGGGTATAAAGGGACTCTACTTAAAATGAACTTTTCTTGAAAAATACGCAAAAAAACCCGAGGTATAACATTTTCTTATTCCTCGAGTGTTTTACTTTGACAGTGCCAAAGGGTTTCCCTATGTCGGTGCTATTATCTTCATTATTCAAAGTTAAGTATGTCTTTTTCCGATTTTTGTCCGCATCGTCCGTAAGGGTGCCGCACTGTGCTCCGGGGCGGCCGCAGCCCTGCGAGTTCACGCAAACTGGATTTACCTTCCCCCGGGCCTTTGTCGTTATTTGTCGTGATCCTTCGGGACGCGAGGCCCCCCTCCTCCCCCCCCCCGACGACCGAGAGGCGCGGTGCTGGGACAATTGAGCTAATTTCGGCAGGTGGAATCCTGGTATTTGTCAAGGGCTCCAGTTTCGGCGACCCGCCTCCTCCTCCGGGTTTCTCGGAGGCTCCCGAATCAGTGGCGTGGCGTGAATGATCGATTATCGATATCTCGCCATTTGAAGCTACGGTAAAGAATCGATTACTAAGGTGTTCGCTGCGAACACCCTAATAATCGATCTTTTTTCATAGGTTTGAGTGGCGTGTCAATCGATATATCGCAAAGCGCGCCACGCCACTGTCCCGAATGGATCCGGTGCAAGGATTGGACCGGCGGTAAAAATATTTTTCTCTCGGCAGTGTTCTCCCGTGATCGATCGAATGTTGCCAAACTTTCGTTTGTAGTGAATTATTCCAAAGAAACATTATAAATATTTTTCCTACGTACATGAAAGCCGCTTTGACAGCGCTCAATGACGCTTTAAGACACCTAGCCGCCAAAGTTTCCTATCCCTCTCAGGGATTCGGCACTCCCTCATTCCCTCTAAAAACCCCTTGCCGCCATTCTTTTAATAGGCGTCCCCTTCTTTTTCTCCCAGGAGGAACGCAATCGAGCATCTTCTTCGGCAGTCTTTCTTCCGTCATCCTGTTGGCATGACTAATTAAACCGTAAACTATTTTACATCAATAATTTTAAATTCTTTATATCGCATTGTCAGTAAATTTGGGCTCTTACATGTGTCAGGGATTTGTGTTTTAAATACTTCTTTTTATGTGAAATTTTGTGAGAAACTCAATGGTGCCACTGGTTTTCTCTAAAATCTATCCCAAGCTCAAAAAAAAGCTCTCTAAGTTCAGACCATTATTGAGGGGATATCCCACACTACATTGAGAGTCCTCCTCCATATCGACGGTGAAACTACCAAACCACGTATCTCGGTTTGCGACGTCGCAGACTTCCTGTCATACTTTATTTTTTAAATGAAAAACTACTTGACATCTAGTCTTGAAAATTTCTGTGATTTTTCCTCTTTGTGCGGAGAAAATTCCGTGAAAATTTTAAGGAATGACATTGATTTGGTCTACTTCAAAAAAATAAAATGTGAGCGTAGATTTTTAAACACCGCAAACGAGATACGTGGTTTGGTAGTTTCACCGTCGATATGTAGACAAACTCTCTGAGCATAGATAGGGAGCAAATACGTAAGCAGGATTGCCGTGGCTCCAACTTTGGAGTCCCCAAACAAAATGGCAACCTTGCTGATGTATTTGCTCCCTATCCGTGCATGAAGAATACGACTAGATTTAGAGGTGGACCTGGACTTTCAGAATAGCGTGAAGTATCCCCTCCATTAGCTCCATTAGGCCTGAGCTTTGAGAGCTTTTTTTGAGCTTGGGAGTTGATTTCAAGAAATTCAGTGGTACCATTGCGTTTCTTGCGATATTTTACATTAGAAAAAGTACTTAAATCGCAAATCCCTATCATATGTAAGAACTCAATTCTCTGAAAAACTGGAAGAGGAATAATCACAGGTTTTTTGGAAAATCGTTGTTTTATCATAATACAATTTTTACAACACCCAAAAGCTCATATGGCGTTCATGATTAGCAAGGCATGGAAGCAATGATCGGGTGATAGTAAAGTGCGTGTCACTGTGGAATCGTTTAGTACAAAGATGACTCGACTTTGACAATTTTGAAAGTGCGTTTTATTGAGAAAATATGGTCTAATGAAAGCATACAAATAGACTCGGATAACTTATTGAAATAATATTAGTCATTCTAGCTCAGAAAAACCACGGCGGATTTAAAAATGTTGATGTTGGTTTACTCGCATCAAATAGGCCTTAAAAAACTTGCAACGTCGCAAATTGAGGTATGAATGTTTTTTATCTCACCGATAGTGATGAGAGAATGTGTAAATATGCACACGCTAGAGTGTAATATAAGCAGCAATCGTGATCTTCTGGCATCACGTCAAAGTGATACTTTTGAAGGCGCTCCAAGCAACTATTCCACCACGGAGGTATTGCACAGTATCACACGAAAATGCAGGCGCACTAACGGATGTAAATTGACTGGTATCTTTTACCACTGTGTTGAGTCCTACTGATCCTATGATATGCGGCTCCTGTATGATCAATTTTTGTGAAACTTAGTACCATCAGTTGCATTTTTTGACAAAGCACTTGAATTCGAACTCAAATCTTCAAAATTCGAAAATCCGAGATGATGGATGAAGCCAAAGATGACATTACGACTTAAATTGATTTTTATGAAACTTGGTGCCAGGGGGATTTTCTGCCTTATATTTACAATCGAATTTTTAGTCAAATTCTCAAAATTCAGAATTCCGAGATGGCTGAAGTGGCCTAAAATGCTATCTTGACACCTTCGAAATCATCCAACTTTTCAATTTAGTTATCTAACTAGGGGCTTATGGGGCTGCTTCGCAGCCCCTTATTTTTCCTGTACACTTTTCACTTTCACATGTTTTTGTTTTTTTTATTTATTTTCATTTAATTTTCTGTTTTGTCTGTGAATCGGGTCTAATTATTTTTTTGAGAGAATAAATATAACAAATGTTTTCAAAAATTGTAATTTTGTTTAGTAAACTTTAAACTAAAATTTTGTTTTAATCTTCATACAAAATTATTTTTTAGGTTTTACATTTGTTTTCAAACTAATTTTAAAGAAGATCTTTTTTTATTTTTTAAATACTTTGCTTTTTTTTCGATTAAATTGTTGATTCTTCTTTTGCCATTTCTGTCCTGCTTTTCTTCCTATATTTCCTACAACTTTGCTCTTCTTCTTTCCTCCTTTTATCTTTTCTTTTTTTGCTTCTTCTTTTTCTTCTTCAGTAGCTGTTCCTTCTGGTTCTTCTTCTTTTTCTGCTCCTGTTTTAACTTCATCTAATTTTTCCGCTTTTTCTTCTTCGTTTTTTCCATGTTCAGTCTGCTTTCTGGTTCCGGTAATAAACTTACCTATATATGGATCCTTGAACTTTAAAGCAATAAGGTCCATCACCCGGAATATCAATTCGATTTGCAGAGAAAGAGGCAAAAGCAACAGCACTATTATAATTTCTGATATGCTTTATGAAATTTGGAGAATATAAAAATAATGATTTCAAATCGGTATTTGTCCGAATACTCGGTAAAGAAATTAAGCCATTTTGGCAGCAGTTATTAAAATGACCATTGGACATTTCACCCTGAAAATGGCGAGCATCACAATGATGACAAATTATATTCATTGAACCGACTGAAAATTTGGTAACAAAATTTTCATCAAAGTTCTGATCATCAATTTTATACTTCCGAAATGAAGAAATGAAACTTTGATTTTCTATACTAATAACAGAGTTAAGTTCTTGCTTCACTAAACGAACATGCGAAGAATTCTGGAAAACGCGACCACGTTTTGGAGGACGACCGCCTCGGTCATTGAAAATTTCACTCATAACAACTGTTAAATTTAAAATTAAAATTAGTAAAAATTATTATTATTTTAACAAAATCATAACTGAAAAGTTCAATTTTTAAATTAAAAAAAATAAATCAGAAGAAA